TGACTCTCCCTGAGTAACAAGAACGCTGCAGCTGGTTAAAGGTTTCACTCTAATGGATCAGGGGATGAAGGGCCTTCTGTTAAAGAGGGTCAAGTCATATTTAAACTGGTTCCATTTGAAGATCTCACAAGATTCAGATTCAGACGACTTGAATAATCCCAGAAGGACAATTCAGCGTCACAGCCTGCAGAGTCAAGACAATAATCAGGAAACAAACACAGCTCAGTCTGAAAGATCTCAGGCCTGCTCTCTACGCCGTCGTTTTACTACGAGTCTGCTGAGTCTGGATTACGACCTTTGACCTTCCTGTAACGAGGACAATCTCCTGTGACCTCCTGTGTGAGCATAGTGTGTGAGGCCATGTCATTACAGAAGAGGATCAGGGCCAGGCATGAGGAAGAAAGAAAGAGGGGAGGAAGATTATTTCCTCTTCTACATGAAGTTTAATTAAATCATGAGAACTTCCCTCTGATCACTTGGGGAAAAGTCGGCTTGTTAAATGACCCTTCATGTTCCCTCAAGAGGTGAAGAACTATGGTGGCTGGGAAGTGCAAACCAAACCCACTGAGTGCGAAGCCCTTTCACAAAGCTTGACACAAATTTTGGAGAATCGTTTTACATTTTAGAAAACATAATGACAAAAGTGAAATACATCTATTGATGACAAAACACATTTACATTTTAGAAAACAAGTTGACAACATGCTTAACACTTTAACGAGCACTGAGACAAATGTCCAGAATCTGTCCGGAGAGGGAATGTACCAAATGCTGTAAACACGTTTCACACTGAGAAATGAGTAATAGGCGAATCATGGCATCGAATTTCAAAAAGAATATGTGCTGTGTGATCGTGGGTTGCCCTGTTATGTGTTTTTGTGCAGACACATTCTGCATGCTTGGGGAGGACACACACAGTGAGAGAGTAATGTTTGCGTGTGTAGGTAAGGGCCCAATGAAAGTTGTGTCCAGGGCCTGTGGTGTATTACAGAGTTTATGGTAACTGAATGATGTTTTCACCACTTTGACTAACCCACCTGAGTGTCCAGGGTCTCTGGAGTTTCTGAAGGACACGGACAAGACTGAAGGATTAAGTGCACCTTCCAGACCCTCCATCTCACCTTTGTCCTCTAAACTTCCAGGATTTGGTTCATTCCCTTTCATGCAAGATTCTGACATTTGTTCATTTGTTTGGGCTTCTTGTAAATGTGTCTCAAGCTTTGTAGAAAGTCTTCCACACTTTGTAGGTTTGGTTTTGCACTTCCAAGCCGCCATGAGGAACTTATCTGAGAGCGCGTATGGAACATCTGTGCAGCAGATAAACTCAAACCACCCTGCTGGTCCCACCTCCATCTTTATCTGAGTGTACAGGAGGACGTCTCACACCCAAGACTGACCCCCACACCCAAACCAGGGAGAGGCCTGACCCTCATATCCCTCCTCGTAAAGATCACGTCTCATGTCATAAACGCCCACCATAAAAAGCTGCAGAATGCATGTAATAAGTGGATCTTTTTGTGCTTATTCTGCACTACATGACTCAGACCTTGTTTAGTTAATAATCAACCATCTTTGGCAGCTGCATGTTCAGTTTACAGCTGAATGTAACAGGGGAGAAGAGCCCCCCATGGAGACTTATTTTCTGCAGGTTGTAGTCAAACTGTCAGGTATCGGAGACAAACGACTGCAAACTGCGAGCCGCTCCATCACAGTCCGGGTTTTAATTTGAGGCTGTGAATCTGACGTGCGTGTGACACTGCCAATAAAAAACACATCTCAGCTCTGCGTTTCCTGGAGTCGAGCTGAGCGTTTGAAAAAGAGTTTAATAAGTCAGATCTCGTGACATCAGCTGACGTATCGGAGCATTAAATTCACACCCCACGGAACCAATCACTCATAAATCCACAAGCAGGGAGATTCAGAGATGAAGAGCGTTAGGTGTTTTACAAACTGTGAGATTAAGATGAACGCTTTTAGACAGATGAAGACGTTCAGAGACACAGCAGCTTATTGCTGTCTCTCTTTTTTTAACCCTTTCATACTGATCATATTCGATGCCTGCACAGTAGGGTGCCACAATTTGTTCTAGAGATCTATTAAGAATGTATTTTAGCCGACCTGACGTTAATGTATGGGGGATTCATTTTTACTAAATATTTCACAGAGCAGAGAGTAGTTTTCATGTTTGACACGAATTGTTAGTTTTGTAAAACGTCCAAATAAACTCTGGGATTAAGAAATGCACACAGAAAATACATTTCACAGTTTGAAGATTCCCCAAAACAAGCTGCAAAATACTCAAATTTAAGCTTAAAATAATTCAGTACGGAGTTTCAGTATACTGAACTTTCGTGGTCATTCAGTATACATTTTTTGGGTCCGCGCAGTATACTGAACATTTCAGTATGGATACTAACTTCCGGGTTTTATGCACTACGGATGCGTGCTTTCAGGAAATGAATTGTGTTTTACCATCCACAATGCTGTGCGAAATTAAACATAAATCGTCACTTCACGTCCGCCTCCAAATCAAAACAAACGAGCGTGGACTAATTTAATCAATTTTTCATCTTAATTTAAAGTCCCGACTGAAATCACTACTTTTAATTAACAACAGAAAATATAACAAATATTTGCATTATTATAAAACCTTTCCCCCTCTATTTAAATAATGATTTCACTATTTAAATGCGTCTTTATTGGTTTATTTTATATTCTGTATATTACTGTCTTTCATTTGTACTTTCCTTTATGTACTGTATGTTATTTAGTTATTTAATCTGCCTTTTACTTGATTTACATTGTGATATTGTTTTTTGTTTACCTGACTGTATATGAGCATTACTCTTCTTGAATAAAGCTAAACAAAAAAACAAAAAAAAACGGGTGAATGCGGCCGGTTTGGGAAACGTAAATGACGTCACTTCCTTACTGAATGAATCAGATGAAGTAGGAACAAATATCTGCCTACTGTGTGTGCATACTGAATAGTAGATACTAACAGTATACAGCACGGATAGTACGTACTGCATACTGCCTACTGAAAGATTGAGTATGTACTTGGCAATTCGGATACGGCCAGGCTTTTTTGAATGGGTGTGTATGTGACACCGTTAGTCTGCAGCCAGCCTCTAGTGGACACTCGAGGAACGGCAGGATTTTACACTTCAGCATCGACTTCATTTTTTAACATCAACTAGAAAAGAACAACACAAGCTCAAGACCATTTACCATCAACCGTTTATATTCTCCATCTGAATCACAATGTGGTATATCATCATCAAAACAAACAGCCAAGATCATAACTCATGTTCAACAACTTCCTGACTGACTATCAATGAGCAGTAATCAGGAGGGAAAGCGCTGAGATAATGCTATAGACTCGCTATTAGCTACAGTCATGGTCATGTAGAATAAAGGTACTAGTTAGCAGCCTGTGTGCTGCTAACTAGCATGCTAATAAGCAGCTAGTTAGTAGTAAAGATTGTGACCTAAATTTAAAGCGTTACCTCATTTCATGTTTGTGATTTATCCAGTTTATACGAAGGAGTATTAGGGCCACATTAAAAGCAGTGTTGGTAATTTGAGAAAAACGAGCATGATTTTTAAAGTAGCATTCCCTCAGTGCTCCATCTACACCCCCTCCCCTCTGTGCTCCCTTAAAAGCCACACCCCTCACTCACATGCACGAGTGCCCTAAGTAAACACTAAACTTAATAATACACGTTAAAAAAAAATAGACTATTTGATTACTCACAACGGCCAGCGACAAACTCACAACGGCCAGCGACAAACTCACAGTATAAACTCCGTCATTGGTGACGCGCTTTGAGTGTGGGCTCGTGCACGCATGGGGTTGAGAGCGAGCAGGGAGACAGGGAGGCGTGTGATTGGTTCATCAGATTGGTACCTCGTGGCAGACATTGGTTGAAGATTTTACAGGCTTACAACTGATACAGATGACGGATTTTCTTTGTTCCTTTTTCAGAGCACGAGTTATTAATGTCTATCAGGACCTAAAGACAATTCCAAAATCTTAAAAAGTGGATCTGGAAGAAATTACCAACGCTGCCTTTAAGGGGGGAAACAATCGGAGATTTTGAGATGAAGGTCGAAAATTTACGAGAATAAAGACGGTATTTAAGTCTATAGTTAAATCAGGAGAGCAGAAGCTGTCTGTACGACAATAATGATGGACGTGGAGCATCTTGGGAAGTTATACTTTGGTACATTTTATAACTAATAAGGACTGCTTTAATCTCTAAATATGGGGCGCTGGTGGCACAGTGGTTGGAGGCTGTAGTCCTCCAAGCGGGCGGCCCAGATTTGAATCCGACCTGTGGCTCCTTTCCCGCATGTCATTCCCCACTCTCTCTCCCTAAATTAGCTCTATCCGCTGTCCAATAAAGGCAGAAAAAGCCCAAAAATAAATATGAAAAAAAAAAAGGTCTCTACATATCGGGGCTTTATGTCTGTAGATATCAAACTACACATACGTTTGACACATCAGCCTCACATTGTCACAAGTATCAGGACTCCTTTCATCATTTACACGCAGGTGGACAGCTTCTCTTCTGATACAACCTTTAAGAATAATCATTTCAACCATGGACCAATTTACAAATATCAGCTCGCAAATTTACGACTTTAATCTCAACATTTGAGGGAAAAGATTCTTTAAGGGGTCCCTGATAATTGTTCATTTCATTCTAACGCTGAATGACCTCCTGAAACAGAAACCTGTAGACGCTGAAACGACCTGATGATGGAACTTGATGTTCAAATAATGAATAAAAGAAACTGATTAAAAAGTCTCCTATGCTTGCATCGCCTGCTTCTAAATGAGTATCAACAAAAACTTTCATTTCTCTTCAAAGTCCAGCCCGGCGTGATAAGGGTGTGGGGGTCAGGTCAGGACCAGATAAGACCCCCCCCACCACCCCCCCTTCCTTTTAAACGCTGTCTGGTCAACCCAGATGTCATCACGGTATGCTAATGAGCCAGGGGGCCTTTAAGTGCCGGAGCCCGGCGTGCAGAGCAGATAGTCGTCTGTGAACAAGCAGCGGTGAAACATCAACATGAGACGGAACATGTGAGCGAGAGGCAAGACGATCTGAGCGACGTGGCGTGTAACGGTGAGTGTTCCGTGGTTGGTCCACTCTAAACTAAAGGTTGTTTTTTTTAATAATCTTTTCAAAGCAGCACCTTCACTTTTTGATCAACGCTCTCATTTGTCTCAAGTTGCTAACGAGTCGACCTCGTGTTTCCTCACAGGTTAAAAGCACGGCCGGAGCTCGCTGTGTGGGCGCCGTGACGCATCTTGAGCCCTGGACAGGATATCATCTTATACTGTAAGTTCATTAAAGAGACACTACAGTATAGATGATGTACTATCCAGGGGGTCATTCGTCCTCAGCAACAGAGACGCGCTGACACCAACACCGCCGCACACGCTGCAGAGGGGGGCCGTCAAACCGTTACCATTACTGAGTTCCAGTAATGGTAAGGGTTATATGGCCCTCGCTCAAACTCATCGTGACCACGAGGATGACAAAGGTCGCTTCATGGGATATTCAGGAGCTTCTGGAGGACACGGTTTTAACAATGTACATGTGGATGAATGTTGAATAAAGCTGATGGCGCCCAAACAAACGAGTGTGTCATTTATTGAGTGAACGTGTGAAGTGTGTGTCCGGGTCTGACGGATGACTTTAACGTGCATCGTCTAGAATATTTGCAAGCAGCAGTTGGCTTGTCTAAGTGGTGATCTCTGCTGCGTAACCGGCTCGTCTAATCACTGAGAAGCAGCCGGCGCAGAGAGCTGGAGGGGCTGACGCAGCTTCTGTGAGTCGAGTTGCCCCCCCTTCACTCCCCCCTCCCTCCCTCCCTCCCTCCCTCTGTCAAGCTTGCTTTAGGCCACGAGCTGGTTATTCATCAAGATGCCCTGGATAGAGTAACCACAGAGTTAACTCACAGGCAGCAGGAAGGAATCCAATCACCATTATCTGACCCATTTTAGCATCAGGTTAGTGCTCCATTCTGCCGTCCATTACGGAGACGACTCAGCCCTCGGGGGCAGAGCGCCGCTTTGTAAGAGCCAAAAAAGCAGAAGGAGGAGGCGGAGAGGGGGAGGGGGAGAAGAAAGCAGTGGAACAAAAAGTGATAGTAGCAAAGGATAGATGGCCACACTTCAAAGGCAGCGGCGAAGGCTAAAGTGATGTGGGAGTGGAGGGAACAGGGGCGGGGGTGGGGGGTGGGGGGGGGCATCAGGGACATTTGAGTGAACATGACTGTGCAGGTTCCATCAGGCGCCAAACGCCCGCCAAGTAAAGAGCTCTGAGAGCCAAAGATAAACCATCGGCCTTTTCACAGCTCGCCAAACCTCCCCAGCCATGAACACACTGTCAAACTTGTCAAAACATGCGTTTGATGACGGTCTGTGTCATTTTGATGCCTAAAATACATCACTGCTCAAATAAACTCCAATTATTCATTTCATTCCTCAACCGGGTTTTTTATTGCTGTCATTTCTCGATTTGACTTGATAAAGACGAGTTAAATCTCTCTCCACCATGACACCAACATGTCCTCTGTTGCCTCCTCACTTAAGGAGTCTTTATAACGAGGTGTGAGTGTGCATGAAAGGAGGCTGCAGATAAAGTCAAAAAGAAGGAGGCGTTTCCAGGAAACATCTCGTCTGTGGAGGTCACTGCTCCTGCTTCGACTCTTCATGTCCGTCCTCCATCTTTCCACGTCTTCATCCCTTCAGAGGTTTATGCATTTCAAAGTCTTTCTTCCATCTTCTTCACTTCCTCAGCTTCACCGAGAGCTTCAGCTTCACTTCCCTGAGGAAGACGCGGCTCAGGTCTTCGCCCGCCTCTCGGGCCATCTGAGCCACCACCTGACCCCCTGCGCCGATCACCATCTTCTACAGAAAACACAAAACAGAGCGGGCGTCAGGAAGCACAGAGCGCGCAGGGTCAGACGGTTAAATTGAGTGTAAGAATCAGACACCAACATGCAGACTTTAAAGGTCACAAAACAAAGCAGACGTGAGAGCGGAGGATTTCTGTCCCAATTTTTTTTTTTTTTTTAAACGTATCGCTGACATCACATTCAAAACAAGCATTCAAAAATCCAAAAGCAAAGACACGTCTCAGTTTGAACATTTGATATGTCGTCTGTGCATTTGTCACTTAAATGTGGGGTTTGAATGTTTGCATATCATCATTCCAAATCTTCAGGGGATTGTGTTTCCCGCTCTTTGAGGATTAGTGCGAGGCTCTCTGCAACGAGCTCTCAAACTGAAAACATGACTCAACAATGACATCTAAGATTGACCGATAAGAATCTGAACATGACAGACAGAGCTCCTCATAAATTAGAGATTGGATTTTTTTGCTTGTTTCTGTGGTTTCGTCCTGAGCTGAAGGTAAAAGCTTCAGGAGGAGGATGTCGGTCTGCTCACAGGTTGTCGGCCTGAAGTGCTTCAGCTCCACAGATGGAGCTTCAAATATTCTCTGCCATCAAATATGCATGGTTCAGAAAAGCTGCTGAAATATTAACAAGGTGATGAAGACAAGGAAAGAGGGATCTGGAGGTACGAGGGAGCGGTAAGTACATGTGAGAAGGCGTGGGAGGGGCTACAGGTGTCTTAAAGAGAGGGAGAGACTTCACTCAGACCAGCAGTTACAATCCCTCATCCTGGTTTCAGTCCAGCAGCAGCACTTCTGAAGGTGCACTCACACTCGGCTCGGCTGCTGATGCACGATTACCCCCCCTCCACGTTTCCCTGTTGACCTGCACTCACAATGCTCCAGGACTAACCGGGCCTGAGCACGGTTACCTCCTGTACAAAACGTGGTAATACAACACATGCATGGCTTTATGTCATTATGAAGCGTGCTTAGTTTACAAGACAGGCGGACTCACACTCGCACGTCGGAGAAGAACGCAGAGAACATGACAGCAACTTTTTGGCATTGTGGGAGCTCCACATACACACACAATCAGACATGTACACACACACACACACACACACCATGCGCTCCCTGTCTGGCTCAGCTGATCCAGTCTCTCCTCGAATGCCTCTGAAGACGGTACAGAGGGGGATCACTTCATCCCCCCTCTGCAACATTCAGATCGAAGGCGGAACATCTCAGGGCGCAACTATTGAAACGGCGGTCTGAACAGGGCTAGAGACGTGCTGCAGGACCTGCTTCCCCCCAAGGTCCCTTGACCTTTTGAAAGTACTAACCACAATCAGGGTCTTTGTTAGGGGTAGATCAATTACCCCAGAACTAAATTTAGGGACTCTTGGTGTTCAAAACTTGGAAACCAAAAGTGAATAAAATCTGATTTCCTTTTTCATGTTTCACTTAAGATGTCTTTCAACACATCACCCTCTTAGTTACATACACTAAGACCTTTAATCATTCTTTCATTGGACAGAGGATTTATTTCCCCTCACAGTGAAATGGAAGAATTACATCAGCAAAGTCACAGAAAGACAAAAACATTGATGGTAGGTGTGAAAAAAACAAAATACAAACTGCCTAAAAATCCCAGATGCTCATCTTTCATACACAGTGAGTCCCATTAGAAGACTCACGTCTCCAGAGCCAGAAAAAACAGAGAGCACTTCTTACCATGTGTGTTTCCTTCCTGACGTTCAGTTTCACAGAAATATCCAGGTCGCCATCTTCTCTATCCTGCCAGAGTTCAATGGACTGAAAGAAAGCAGAGACATTCAAAGTTAACAATGTGGACGAGGAGCCGTCATGACCACATATCCCAGAATTCTTTGAATGTCTATTGCGTGTCTTCATGATGAGGAGGGCTTGAATACTAAGGGCCATAATTCAATTCATGCATTGTGTAGAGCAGGGGTCTTCATCTGGTGGGTCGGGATCAAGAACGTGTTCTTAGTTTGTCTTACACACAACACAAAGCTGGTGTGTTTCCTCCACAGCGCAGCAGGTAAGTTTAGGAGTGGATACAGTTCAGTGATTGGACGCAATTCAAACCAGCAATATGAAGATGATGAGAAAATATAATCACAGTGAGGTGAAACACCAAGCGGATAAAGTTGTTCTAAAAGAGGGTGAACCTTGGGGAAGGGGGACGGTGCTTCATCATGTGTGTGGAGTGACAGAGAGAATGAAAGACTTGAAATAAGCCGCAGTGTCAGTCAGAGCGGAGAGACGTGATGGGTGCACTCAGCTAGGCTGCCAGCTTATCATCACGTGTGATTGAGAGCAGCCTCACGCCCTTAGTCACCTGAGTCATTGAGTAGGGCACCTCCTGCGGCAGATACTCCAGAAGCTTCTCTCGGATGATGTTGGTGCAGAGCTCCTCGGGCTCTGGTCAGTCAGGACCTCGCTGTGGTACGGCCACGAGCCCGGCTTCGCTGCAACCAGGAAGTAACTCTAGGATGGAGAGACATGTTATAATAAAGCTAGGGTTGAAGAAGTTTTGAGCATGCTTTACTACAAGCATTAAATTCACCTTCAGCGTGTCCACGTCCTCTCTGTCCACCGACGACGTCATGAAGACGTCTTTGAAGTGAGGCCAGCCCCGCTGACCCCTCAGCACCTTCAGCTGCTCTTTGCTCAGCATGCCGCCGCCCCCCTGACTTTTCCTCTTCCAGCGAGGACTCAGAGTCTCTCTGCAGCCTCTTCTCAGCCCACGGAGGCTTTATCACCGGCCTGACGTGCAATTTACGTCCGTTAACGATTCCACACGTCAGCTCTGCTGTGATATCCAGTAGCCGGTCCTTGGTCTTAAGCAGGTCCACCTAAAACAACAAGAGGAGCAGCAGTGAACCCATCTATAAGACTCCTCAGCTCAGGTGAACGTATATTTGTTGGAGCAAAAATTGCTCGTTATATTTTCTCTCTGTAAAAACCCAACACTGTGACCTGTGTAATACTGACTTTGACTTCTGGGGGAAGTCTTGGTTTATGCTGAGCTTCGGGTCATTGGAGTCTCGTGTGTGTTTAGAGTATAGACTGTAAATAAGAATGTTTGAAGCCTGAGTGACGTCACCCGTCTGTTCCTGCAGGGGGAGCTGGAGTCCCATTGATGGCGGTCTCCATGTTGGAAATGCTGTCTCAGTCTAAGTTTCAGTCAACCTAACGACAGGCTGAGAGCTGGAGCTGAGGCGGGTTTTAAGCCTCCTGACAAACCGTTACACCGCGCCCACCTGTCAATCAGGTCAGCTACACGCCTTATTGTGAATAACTCTTATCCTTCATCAAATCAAAACAGATGAGTCATCAAAACATTCACCCCCCGTACAGTGTGTGCTGATCGAGACATGAGCTAATCAGGCCTATTTGGGTTTTTTTAACCAGGCTGTAAACATGTTCATCTCTGCTGTAAAAACAGGCTTTTTTGAATGGGTGTGTATGTGACTTCCTGTGCTTCTGCAGCCAGCCTCTAGTGGACACTCGAGCAACTGCAGGATTTTGTGCACTTCAGCATCGGCTTCATATTTCAACAGCGGCTTTCAGACTGGAAGTTGGTATGCTTTCTGCTGGACAGGAAAGTGCCAAACAAATGCTAAATTACCGGCTTTTCCATTATATTCTATATAAGCTACTGTACAAAAACTCCTTTACCATAAATGTGTTAAAGCGTTAATTAGCTTTAAATTTGGAGCTAAAAAGACACGTTTTATTGTTCAAATGATTCCTTCTGACATAGTAACCATGTTGTAAAGTTACCTTATTGAGGACCAGGATCGCAGGGATGTCAGGGTGCTGAGCAAGACATCTGAGCACCTCGAAGTCCAGCTTGAGGCACATCCATCTGTC